ACACCAGAAAAATAAATAAAATAAAAACACTGGCTAGAAGCATAAAGATGAGAAAAGATAAAACCATGTTAACAGTAACAATAAAAGAAAGCTGGCATGACTCAGATAAAAGGATACACTTGTGCACATTCTTACACTTGTTACTCCAAAATTAGGAAGTAAAACAGGCAAAAGACCAACTCAAACACACTGTAACAAAATAATTATGCTGAGTGGAAAAAAAGAATAAGACACTAAGGAGTACATATACTACTCAAGGGAATCAAATTTGAGCCCAGTCTGGGCAAATGAGCGACTCAACAAGACCTTTTCTCAAAATTTAAAATTTTTAAAAATTTTATTAAAAAAAACCTTCAATGCAATATTAAAAAGCAATACAGCTACCTGGGCATAGTGGTGCCCTCCTGTAATCCCAGTACTCAGGAGGTTGAAGCACCAGTGATCATTTCAAGTTTAAGGCCAGCCTGAACACAGTGATACCCTGTCTCAAAAAAAAAGCAGTACAGTTAGCTGGAGCAATGACTGACAGAAAGAAAGTGGAGGGGAAAAGATCCAGGTCCCCCACCCAGCTGTTCCCCAAAGCTGCTGTGGCTGGAGGAAAATAAAAAAATTTTTAAAGGGCCAGATATGTAGCTCAGTGCAAAGGTCTTCGGTTCTATACCAGTACAGCTTAAAATAACATGACTGCATTAATATAAAATCCTCAAACTGGGCCAGGGATTTAGCTCAGTGGCACTGCACCTGGCCTTGCAAGCATAAGGTCCTGAGTTCAATCCCCAGTACCCAAAAAAGAAAAAAAGAAAAGAAAAATCCCCAAACAAATGCAAGCGTTAAAAAATTTAAGCTGAGTGTGGTGACATATGTCTATAATCCCTGCACTCAGGAGGATAGGGCTGGAGAATCCGAAGCTCAGGGCCAATGTGAGCTATATAGTAAGACTCCGGTGGCACACACCTGTGATCCCAGCACTCAGGAGACTGAAGCAGGAGGATCACTGCAAGTTTGAGGTCAGCCTGGGCAACCTAGTGAGTTCAAGGTTAGCTTGGACTACACAGTGAGACCCTGTCCAAAAAAACAAAAAACACAAACAACAACAAAAAGACCCTGTTTTAAAGAAAACAGAAAACTATTCACTTAAAGTAACATCTTAACCCCTGAATTTATGTACAGCCTTTATGCAAATTATTTTCAAAATCTGAAAAACTCAATCACTTCCACAAGTATTCCAAAAATGTTTATTGAGAAACTGTTATCATGCTTCAATCACATGTTTCAGGCCCAGGAACTGAGGCTATAGCAGCTGCTGTAAAGCTTACTTGCTAGAGAAGGAAGATGAGCAAACAAACACCAAACAACTGTCAATAAAAACCCACAAAATACTGATTGCTGTGTGAGGGGTTAACATAAAATGTTGTAAGAAAAACAGGGCACTTCTGATGGGGAGGTGGTCAAGGTGTATTATTTAAACTAAACCTGAGTGACTACAACACAGCAATTTAAAGAGGTAGGTGTGGTGGTGCCTGTAATCCCAGCACAGGGAGGCTGAGGCAGGAGAATCAACATGAGTTTGAGGCCAGCCCAACTACATGCTATGACCCTGTCTCACAAACAAACAAACAAACAAACAACCCAAGAGGTGGGGAAGGTTCTGTGGCAAGAGAGAGACACACTTTTAAGAGATACAAAATTCTGCACTTTGGAAGAATTACTTTTCTGCCACCCAAACTGCACATGGTATTGCAAAGTGGAGGCAGACAGGAATAAGACAGTTCCAGAAGCTAACTCTCAATTTGGTATTTTTGCCCTTTGGGCTCAGAGGATTTCCCACGGCAAAGGAGACTGATAAAACACACAACCAATCACTCTCCACGCATCCCTTCAATTTGCTTTACATTTCTGAAAAAAATCTATCTAGATCAAAGATATCCTGAAGCTCTGAAGTGTCAGGTACAAAACTTCTAGAATGGTTGCAAATAAGAAGGTCCCATTGCAAATCCATTTTTATAGGAAATTTATACCCAATACCTCTTCTCAAAGATCTGAGGCACTTTTGAAATAAAAGGCAAGTAAGAGGCCAGGGACTTGGCTCAGTGGTTTCACCGCTTGTCTAGCAAGTACAAGGGTCCAAGTTCGATCCCCAATACCAAAAACAAAAAAATACAATTATACGCAATGAATACACGTAGACTCGTGTATACATTTATATCTAATACACACACCCATTATTTTACCTTTCAAATCAGGGTAAAAGGAAAGCCAGGGGGATGAAGTCATGCAGATTTAGTAAACAGAAATGCACATAAGTAGACATTAAGTACCCAGAAATGTACAATTACTAACTGTGGCTCAACCCGAAACCAACCTTTTTATTCTATCTGGTTTGAACTCAGTTAAGCAACAGAGTAGGGAAAGTCACTCATTTTGGGCCTGAAGCTATAATAAAAATTAAATTTCTAAAAAAGCCTGAACTCCAAAGACCATTTATTCTCTCTTAAGCCTCTGACCTCATTAAAGATTTGAAAAGAAGAGGTACAGAAATATTAATCAGTTGTATGGCAAGAAAATAGTATCATGACACCACTGCACCATAAAAGACTAAAAAAAAATTAATCTGAGTCTCCTAAGACTGTCACATCCGCCAACAGCACAGAAAGAAGGTGGACAAGCAAACAGCCACTCAGGGGCTCTCTGCCACACACAGGGAAGGATCTTGTTCGGGCAGCACTAGCAATTGGATTTACACTCCTCCTCCTTCCTGAAATCTCAAAGGACTTTTCTGTAAGTTATGTTGTCTCAAACCAAAGGTAATTCCAAGAGCTGCACAAACCAACATTTTTTTAAAGGGTCTACACCCTTGAAGGAGGGAAGCGCTCCCTAATTTGAACCCAAATGCCAACTTGAATTTCTCTGTATATTTTCTTTATGGAGAACAATGATAAACAGCACCGTCAAGAGTCCAGTTCCTAGGCAGGGTATTTAGCTCAGGGGCAAGCACTGGTCCCGCGTTGGGTTGGGGGGTTCAGTTTCTGACAACGAAGAATTCAAATCCAGCTCAGTCACTTTATATACATGTGACATGACCAAGGCTTGATTCCATCTATAAACTGGGAAGGAAACCAGTACATTCAGACATTATTGTATGATTTAAATGTGATACATATTAGGCTCTGAAATGTTTTAAATGAATAAATTCATTCCTGCAAACGCCAGTTCCCAAGCAAGCATCTGTCAAGGTCCAGAGACATTCTTGGAGTGTCACTGGCCTCTACCAGGTACAGGCCAGGGATGGTACTGAATGCCCTAGGATGCACAAGACAGCTCCCTACAACAAAGAATTATCTGGCCCAAGACAGCAACAGCGTTGAGAAACTGATGGTAGAATACCTGGTACATGGCAAATGCCCAAGGATGGTTACTATAATTTAACCTCTTTCCACTGAAGTCCCCAATATTCTGTCACCTCTTTGATATGAGGGCCCACATACTGTGCTCAATAAACTCAATGTACAGGGATGAAAAATTCTTATTGGACGACGTGCCAAGAGGTTATACCAAACGACAACGAGATTTTATAAAGTGGAGTCTCAGAAGATACACTGTGGGCCCAGAAAGCCAGTACACCTGAAATTTAACATCTGTATCTGGACAGACATGGCAGCACACACCTGTGATCCCAGCACTTGGGAGGCTGAGGCAGGAGGATCACCCTAACTTTGAGGCCAGCCTGGGCTACAAGGCGAGACCCTATCTCAAACAACCATCGTATCTGTGCACTTTTCCTTAAAAAAAAAAAAAAAAGACGCACATTAGCTTTCATTCTTTCAGCTCACTGTGCTCACTAGTCAGGCTCCTCTTTCAGTTCCAAGGAAAACACTAGGCTCATCCAAACTCAGGACCTTTGCACTTACCTTCCCTCTAGCTGGAACACTCCTCCCCCAGAACGTCGCAGGGCCCTTCCGTTCCTCTCCCGGTGTGAGCTTCAAATCTCACTTCCTTAGGAAGGCCTTTCCGTCCCACCTTCATCCCTTCATTCCCATCGGTCCTACTGAAGCCCTTTAAACTTACGTTTATTTGTTCCCTGCCTGTCCCACCCCGGGAATACCTACTCAAGAGACCAGAGACTTTTGTTGAGCATACATAGACATAATCATTAGATCAATGAACGCCTCAATCCCCAAAGGAGCCTGGAACTCTCAAACGGTTGTGGATCAGTACACTGAAGCAGGAGGGGAACGAAATAAATGAAAACCGAGGGTCCTACAGCCCGGGCAGAAGTGACAGGTACAGCCCGAGGTCCTGACAGCTCAAAATCAGGGCCCACGTCCCTCGGCACTACAGCGGGGTGAAGCTGCGCGGCGGAGCACGAGGGAACCTCGACACACGGGGCCGTGCAGGCCCGGAGCGGGGGAAGTGGGGAGCCGCCGCCGCTCGCGGG